ATATTGAAACCCACCTTGGGGCATTTAGGGTTCTTGGAAGTCTCGATCATTAGTCCAGGCCCCATTCTTTCTCTGTTGAGAATAAAAAAAAAAAAAAAGTTAAAATAAAACAAAATGTAAGCAGTAAATGAGCATTATATTGTACTACAATCACTTTACTGCATATTGTCTCTATTTATTTATTACTATTTATTTTTTGCTTTCTTTTCGATGCAGTTTTATATGCGTCTCTTTACTTTTATTATTTGATTATACTATATTAATATAATTATATTATATTATTTTTATATTATTATATTATTTATAATATTATTTTTATATTATTATTTCTATTTTCAGGTCCAAACTATTGTTGCACTTTACAATGATAACAAAATAAATAATTAAATAAATAAAAAAAATCTATTTTATATTGGCTTGTTCACTTCACTTTTAAAATAATTTAAAAATATAAATAAACAAAACAAAACAAAACAATAAAATTAAATTAAATTAAAAAAAAATAATACAATAAAATCAAATAAAATAAGCTCGTTCACGTCATTGTCTTACTTGAGGATCTCTTCCCAGATCTGGCTGTCATAGTACGCATGACTCCAGCCCATTTTCACTGTGCCCACAATTAGGTTCTGTTTAAAGACATCAGATCCCAACTTCCGATAGAGTTCCTCACACTCATCCAGAGGGATCTGGAACACACCCAGCATAAAGGCCAGGATGGCCCCTAAGGGGAAAACCCCCCACAGATTTAAAGGAAGTTTGTTCATTCCTATATCTAATAAACATTTTCCAAGTAGTTATCATAACATACCTGTACTGACTCCACATATGTAGTCAAACAGCTGGTAGATGGGCTTCCCTGTCAAACTCTCCAGCCTGTGCAAAGTCTGTAATGCAACCAAGCCCCTGCAAAACAATTACATCAAATTACAGGACTGCACACATTACATTTCACTGCAAATGTAAACATGTTCATTCATCTTATAACATAAAACTAAAGGATATATTCACTGAAATAATTAAAGAGTTCAAGAGTAGTTGACATGGACAATATAATGGGCATTAACTTTTTACATTTTAGGCTAAAAAAATGTGGGAAAATTTCCACAAATCTGTACGCAAGGTATTTTCCACAATATAAATAACTGGTCACCGTTTATTTTATGTTTTTTTTTACTACTTTTAATTTCATTTTTGTTGCTCACAAATTCAAAATTAAACATTCTATATGGACATTAATTGAGAATTAAATGTATTATTTCTATAGGTCTATAGATCAGTTGATAATCTAACCTGATAATTTTTTCATTATTTAATACAAAATTTTATGTTGTATATTTTTTACTTTAAAATGAAAGATTAAGTATATCCTATCCCACTGCTGGTAAATATAATAGTATATAATAGTGGTATATAATTTTATTCTTGGTAAAACTGACATAAAACATGAAAAAAACAAACATTCAAATTAGCCTAGGATGATGGACAGCATTTAAAGGGATTGCAAAATTGTCAGTTGAGTTCTATTTTTTGATGACCTACTTTTAGGTAAATTTGGGCTGACCTACTTTTATCTTAAAAGTACTTTCACAATCGGTTAACTTTAGGTTAATAATTTTTCCCTAGCAGTCATCTGTCTGTCACCTGGTCCCTCCTCCGTCGATGGAGAGGACACGTATTCCTCTGCCTTTGACCGGGTCATTGTAGCCCACCAGGGCCAGAGCCTGTCTCACTGCAGCCTGCAGATTGACGTCTCTTGCCTGCCTCAAACGCAGTAGACACGGGATGACCTTCTCCTACAGCCAGCGAGAGAAAGGACGAAATGAAACACAGAAAGTTATTAATGGAGATTACAATGTACAAAAATAAATCCAGACATGGCAGATGGTTGGACACACACTTACAGTGACTGCCACCCCTCTGGTCTCTGGAAATTCCAGCAGGTGGAAGCTCAGTTCCTCCACCCTGCTAATGGTGATCTTCACATCAGTGACTCGTTGAAGACTTTTGACCAGTGCTCTGGTACGGTTATCCACACTAACACGTGCTATAATCTATATACAATACAACACAGAGAACAATAACATTTCATTCTTAAACATTCTAATCAATGTTTTCCTGACCAGCTTGGGCTTCTAATAAAAGAAAGGTTTGGGTGATACCCCCCCCCTCCCCCTCTATTAAACATATTCTATTATATTTACAGGGATATTATTCTACCTTCTCCCTTTGAGACAGCAGTCTCTGTGCTTTCTCTTCTGCCTCTTTTTGCTCCTTGCTTTCTGCACTCTTTGCATCCTGGGACGCAGCCCGTTCAGATCCAGAGGGTTTTTCCTTCTCTGCTGTGCCACTCTTTGAATCCGCTCTGAACTTTGGTACGAGAGGAGCGATGTAGTTTCCTACAAAAGCCTGGACGCTGGGCCTGGGATAGGACAGGTAATGACTGATGCCTTTCCTTGGCGATATGGGGATGGTTGAAACACCCTCATCCTGAGCTGGAGCAGAAGGGGCTTCTGGACTTGGGACGGAGCCATTCTTGTCAATCGCAGGGGGCGTTTCTGGTGTGGATCTATGGGACACAGGCACCGCCATTAGGATATCATCCTTGCTACTTTTTGGAAGAGCACTAGGCTGGATCTGAGATGTCGAGGATGTTGTGTCTTCTCTAACCCGTTGTGATATTTTGTCATCTCGCGTGTCACTTCCAAAGTAGGCATTGACATGTTCAGCCAGGTGATTGTACATTTCATCCATGTTGGTTGTGAAGGCTGCGGGCTGAAAACGTTGCAGCGTTTGCTTTGCAGCCACACTCGTCGTGTTTTCTGTGCTGCTAGACAGACTGCTGATAGATTTTGGGGCTTCTTTATGAAGTTCCATGTCTGTTTGCACCTCTTTCTCCCTGGGCGGCTCAGGTGCCGCCATGGTCATGACAGCTCTGGCCTCTGCCTCGGGGCATTCCACTTTAACCTCTATAGTTTTGCCCTGGGTCGCACTGGGTTTGAGGCGTGTGATCTTGGCGAGGAGGTCGGTGTTCACCGTTCCGCTCACGGCTTTGGTAACGGTGTCCAGTGTGCTCCTGATGCGCGACATGCGGTGAGGTTACTCGAGGGAATTCTGGGATATTCCTTGAGGAAACACACGTGTGTGAATTGGGCATCAGAGCTGCTGAGCCCTGCAGAGCTCAGTCAAAGCTTTAGCCATTTCACATCCACTAGATAAGGACTCCATGATAATACATGAGGTAGGAGGATTTTCTCATTTTAAAGGCAACCTGTAATGACAAAGATTGTTTTTATTAAATTAATAATGTTTAATATTAAGAAATCATCAGTAAGAAACCATCCATAAAATCCTAGCAACTGCAAATCATTGTGCTAAAAACAGTCAGAACCCTTGAGCAACTGCATAGGAACACCATGGAATCACAATATTTAATATTCAAAGTGAATAAGACGTCATAAAAGGAAGGTATTTTCTGCATAAAGACAATGGGCCTCATTAATGAAGCATGAGCGCAATGAGTGCTTAATTTTCATGATACTTTTCCAACATTATTTCAAACTAATTCTCATTACTATAATAAAGTATAAAAAAATTGTCCTGTTTTTAGTTAAACAAAACGAAAATATAATATTTTACATTTTTATTTAATAATATTGTATTATTATTATTAATATTATTAATAATAAAAATAAATTATTATTATTATTATTTCAATTCTGACTCGCCATCTCCGCAGTACAGTAACACGCCTTCAGAGAGAAATGCACATTTTTCGATTTGAATTGTTTCGTTTTAGAATAGCCATTTCGAGTTTTCTATAGATATATTTTTCATATCTGTGTGAGGCATTTAGCTTATATACGCCGAGTTGGGGTTCATTTTAGTGACGCGCTCCAGGGGGCAGAAAGAGTGATCCTGTTTGTTTTCTTTATTTTACTAAATTACAGAGTTTTGTTGTTATTGTGAGTGTACACAAATAAAAGTAGACTTTACAGTTTCGAATGATGTACTATTCTTATCTTTATGAACACAAATGACAGCATATTTTAAGTTGAAAAATGTAAGTAATCGTGCCGGTGCCTCCATTAAAAGTGCGATTTCCGCGCAAACACTTGGATACGTGCCTAACTGCGCACATTTATCTAGGTTAAACGTTTAAGCTAACATTGTGATATGCTTAGTGTTTTATATCTAGGGATTTTATTGTAGGCAGGTCAAGTGTTGATTTGAGAAGGCTAAATTGATCAAATGTGGTAAACTCAATGTAGGCCGCTTGGTCGTCACTTTAAAAAACAAAAACTTGTTTTTAACAAACAAAAGATGCTAAATTTACCTAAATTCTAAATTACCTTAAAGAAACGAAAAGAAATATAACCACTATGCAATTAAAAACAAAATGGCTGCAACAGTAGGCTATGCAATTGGGACAAAAAAGGCAAAAATATTAATGGTTCTGAAAATAGGCTTAATTTTTTTGTATGAAAAAAATATATTTGATTTCTCATGCGTTATATTCAAAGTCGTCAGAACAAATGAGAGAAGTAAGATGTCAAGCCAGTGAACGGATTGTTCTTTTGAGTCAGATCTTTTCAATGAATCATTTGATTCAGTTCACAAAACCGGTCTGAATGATTCATTCATGAATCAGTTAAACTCACCAACTCCCAGTAGTTAACAGCTCACCGAAGGCTGAAATTTTCTATGAATAACAACTTAAACTTTCGGTTTGTTGCTGATACATATGACTAGAAAACTTGAAATATAGTGCACGAGTCATATTTAAGTTTGCAGTCTCCATTCATTCAACTAAACATGAAAAAGTGACTTCTTCGAAATGTCTTCTTTTGTGTTCCACAGAAGAAAGAATGTCATACAAATTTTAAACGCGGAGAGGAAATAAAAAAAAAATACAGAGTGGAATATAAATGTACTTTTACAATCATTTGTAAAGCATCGCGTTTTAGTGCAAGAGCCAACGCAACCTGTCAGTCATCACCATGGAAACCGACGTCAACATTTCAGAAACGCTGACAGCTATGGAGACGGACAGCACACATATCGCACAATGTGAGCATAAAATCAAAAACATCGACTGGATCTCGTGCAAAGACTTCACAATCGAGATCGGAGAGCAACAGATCAGACGATACATGGACACATTGGAGATACAGCAGCCCGGCTGGCTCTACAGTCTGAGGTTTCTCCAGGAGACCGAGTTGGAGTTTAAAACGCAGTACCAGTACGAAACCAAATGGAGCATCCCGACCCGAACCGCCCCGATCCCCAGAGCCACAGCCAGCGTGTATTTCATCATAGAAATCTCCAAAATCCGACCAAACACACTGCCTGTGGACGTTCACTTCCTCGTCGAAACAAACAGATCCAAACATATTCCAGGACAGACGAGGTTCAGGGAAAAGTGGCTGATGGATATCATTGAGAGCAAGAGGGTAAGGTAACTACTTACAAATGCGCTCGATTTTGATGTAAGCACATAATCTGTTAATTTTCTGATGTATGTGTTGCAAGATGAAAAGACAACATATTTCCTCTGTCCAAGTTTATTAGTTTAAATATTACATAATTAGTGTAATACTATCATTCTTCATTTGTCATTTCTACACTACATATAATTACATTTGCCTACTGTATGTAGAGTGTAGCAGGGTTATATTTAACTAAAACTAAAACCATTCAAAAACATTTTTGTTATTTAAAATAATAATAAAATAGACATTAACTAAAATAAAATGTAAAAAAAGCATTTTATTTAAGTTTAAAAGAATAAAAAACACAACGAAATTACTAAAACTAAGTAAAATTAAAATGTAAACTGAAAATATAAAAATAAAAACATTCAAAATATTAATAAAAACTAATAATATATCTGGTGTGTAATACAATATGTATTTAATATGAAATTATTTTTGGAAATGATTACTTCACATTGTTATTGTTAGTTCTATTTTAATTATTTTAGAATGCACTGCAGTGTGTGTAATATACACACTAAAACAAAATGCTAATTTTCACAAAAAAAATTAATAAAAAAAATGGTATGAAAAAAAAAAACATTTTTCACCTCTTTAGTGAGGTCATTGTAGACTGGTGGGTACATGCTGAGTTTGATGGCCTCTGGGAGAACTCTATCGGACACTCGGGCCACTGCTGTGCGCATGATGATTTGAGGAGAAAACCCCACACTGACCATGTCTCCTTGTGGGTGCAGATGTTTCTCCACAAGAACTTTGTGCTTCTTCGTTTCCTCATCTTCCTCCATCATTTTCTAAAAATAAACGCCCATCTTTAAAGTTTGATTTCCAGGCGTCATAGGTCTTGCACATAATTCTGTCTGCAGTGAGTTTATTCCTGTACCTGTAGTTTTTGCTTGAGCCTTTGGAGTCTGCTGGAACTATAGCAGGTCAGGGATTCTATAAGCGAGCACAGATCTGTCTCACAGTTACCGTCATCCTCGTATTCACTCTCCTGTAACACACAAATACACAAATGAGTTTCAGTTCCTATTACTCTTGCACATAGACACTGTAATTGGTATGTTGTAAGGGTACTTTGTAACAGCCCAACCTCTTCAGATCCTCCCCGGGACTGATGTGTTTCTCCAGACTGGAGGGAGGATCTGTGGACAGTGGGACTAATGGGGTTGGAGGCCGATCAAGCAGCGTTATCTCCAGCTCCTCCAGCAGTGTCTCCCTCTGTAGGTCAGGCATGGAATGGCATCCCTGAGAGGGCAGAAGGAGAAATCATTAAGGATGATATAATGTCTACATGTAAATGTTTGAAAACTTGCAATATGGAATTTGTGCATTGGAATTGATCAAAAACTCTCTGGTCACCTTTATTCTGACCAACGGGTTTTGACGGGGACTCCGATCCTGCTCTTGTTTCAGTATATTATACATACTGGTTTTAGAACCTGGGCACATGCACAAATTAAAGTGTCCTGATGTCACATCCTGAATTATAACCCATCACTTTAAAGGGGTAATTCACCCAAAAATAAATATTCTGTCATTTACTGACCCTCATGTCAATCCAAACCTGTATGACTTTCTTTCTTCTGTGAAACACAAAATAAGATATTTTTAAAAATATTGCTACTGTTTTCCACATTTCTGGGTAGTACCTGATCATATGTAATCTGGATTATGTAATCAGATTCCAAAAGCTAAATATTTGTAATTAGATTATATTACGTTTTAAAATACTCATAATCAGACCAGTTACTTTTTTATTGATTACATGATTACTTAATATACACAAAATTCCACACAGCATATACAGTACAAATAAAATATTTTAATGCAAAGTTTAATGCACTTCACGTTGTTGCTAACAAAGAATAAAATAAATTTCTTTATTTCTTAGTATTTTTGTATTGTATTTTTTCTTTATTTCTTTGTATTGTATTTATATAAAAGATTATTCTACTCAAATCAATGATAAACAAGTTAGGTCACAAATAATCTAAAATTAATCAAAAACTAGTCCGATTATAATACCTAAAAGGTTCAATGTAATATATTATGTTACTAACTACAATTATTATGATGTAAATTTGTATTCAGTAATGACTACAATTGGTAAGTAATTACCCAGCACTGGTTTTCCGTATAATGAAAGTTAATGGGGTCCAAAGCAACTCTGCACCTGACTGACTTTCACTGTAAGGAAAAAACAACTCTGAAACTTTTTTTTTTAATTTTATATATCTTCTTTTGTGTTCCATACAGGTTTGAAACAACATGAGGGTGAGTATACAATGACAGAATTTTCACTTTTGGGTAAACTATCAGTGTATCTTGCCGTACAATGTGTGTCTGTCTTGTAGGTAATTGGCTCCATGTTACAGGGCAGGAGGTCATACACACGTTGCAGATTCAGCTCAGCTCAACTGTCTCTCTTTACAACATGCGCACACAAACACACCTCCTTGAGGTCATCCTCCACAGCTTTTTCCCATGGTGTGGCCGTCATGGACCTCTCATTGTTATGAGAGCGCATATGTAGTGCGTGTGTAACAGCACTTTGTCTGACCCTCCGTGCATTCTTGATTCCTGTGACAATCCTGCATCTTATGATAAATGTTGTTCTTTTTAAAGTTTCCACAAAAAAATTAAGCAGCACAACTGTTTTCAACATTGATATTAATAAGAAATATTTATTGAGCATCAAATCAGAATCAGAATCAGAATTAACACAATCCTGCATCTTATGGATCGGACATTCAAGCTGTAAATAGAAATAGTCACAATCTGCTGTGAATAAGTAATATCATGCTATATATCACCATATTGTGTGATCAAAGGCTGTTTATGTCAATGCAATCTAGGTCAAAAGAATCACACTCACAGACTGGTGCAGTCAATAGCGAGCTGAGCTGCCACCCTGCTGCGGTTGACATGGTCGCTGAAGACACCTCGCCTCCGTAGAGTCTCCGTCAGTTGCATATAATAATAATAATTCTTATTATTAATTATTATTAATCAGCATATTAGAATGATTTTTGAAGGACCATGTAACACTCAAGGCTGCAGTAATGGCTACTGAAAATAAATAACATAAAAAAAATCACATTTTGAAATATTTTAAAACGGATATTTTAAGTTGTAATAATATTTCACAATATTACATTTTTTACTGTATTTTTTTTTATTGATAAGTGAATGAAGTAAACAGGGAGAATTAGAGACTTCTTTCATCTTACAGACCCCAAACTTTTGAACATTAGTGGAGTGCAAAAATGTTATACAGTATCATTTTGACCTTCTAATTGTGTATTTTATCTTCTATAGATCAAAAAACAACATGAGAACACCAATCTAATGCAATAAAATACTTGATCTGTATTATTGTACAAAAGGCTTCAGACGATGTTTGAAATATTTATTTAAAGCATCTGTCTGAGACTGACCAGAGACTGACGGTCTTCATGGTGGATGGAGTAACGCTGTGATTTCCGGGTGATTCTCTCCTCCAGCTGTTTGCACAACTGTGTCAAAGAGGTTGGAGTGCTTTTATCCTTCTTATAAGCTGAAGACTCTGATCTCACCTCGTCAGATCTGTCTGAGAATGAATTTATAAATCAGCAATATAATATTTGTCAAAACTTCAAGAGTGAATTATCTAGCTTGTTAAAAAAAAAAGCACTAACCTGTCATCCTGTTAACACTGAGGTCCATGTGGCAGAGTAGTGACAGAGGTTTTAGAAGGCTCTGAACCTCTCGACTGTGGACCATCATTTGGAGGTCCTCACACTTGATGTGCTCACGAACCTGTGTGTGCTTGTTATTTCCCCAGTCATTCTCATAACAATGATGTTTAAGACTATGCAATACAGAAATGTCTTGCAGTCTTGTGTATTAAGCTATTTAATTAAATCAGCTGCGCTTTAAAAGCCTACTCAGGCCAAATAATAATTAAAAAAAAAACTTTTTAGCATTCATTCAGCAACATTTAAGGTGCAAAAAATAAAATCCTAATAAGATGCGACAGTCTTTTCAAGTTTAAACCTGGTGCAAATCAACATCACCACACTTTATAGTGAATGTGACCTGATTTATGTTACAACAATACCAGTAAACTTTAAAAATAAAGTGCACAGAATTTAAAAACACTGTTTTTACCTAGGCTATTGTGTACGATCATTTGAACATCAAAAGCAAGATCTTTAAAAAAAAATTATAATTATCGAATGCAATAAATCGGCTGAATAGTTCCGTCTGCACGCCGTAGTCCTAAAACAAGTCACGTTGCCCTGGAAACCCCGGCAGGTCACGCACGACGTCATTGCGCAACTTTGGAATTGACGCCGCATTACGTAATGACATTATTAATAACTTTTTCACTTTTTGTTCATTTTAAACAGTCTTTAAATAAACTGTAAAAGAAAAATAGTCTTTTAAATAACATTAAGCCATAAAACTGAAAGCAAAATAATAATAATAATAATAACAAAGCTGTTCAGTCTTGATAACAAAACAAAGTATACTAGTCTCATACGGTAATCTACACTTATATGCTAGTCTAACACATGGTGTACATCTACAAATACCAAGAGTGACAGAATTCTAGTGAATAAATAAACGTACTGCAGATTAAAGTCTAAATAACTCTATGAATACTAAATATGGTTGCCTCCTGTATTTATGTCAAATAGGATATTTCCATATATATATATATATATATATATATACATACATACAGTTATTTATACATGATTACTATTAATATCATTAGTTGTAATAATATTTCACAATATTACATTTTTTACTGTATTTTTTTTTATTGATAAGTGAATGAAGTAAACAGGGAGAATTAGAGACTTCTTTCATCTTACAGACCCCAAACTTTTGAACATTAGTGGAGTGCAAAAATGTTATACAGTATCATTTTGACCTTCTAATTGTGTATTTTATCTTCTATAGATCAAAAAACAACATGAGAACACCAATCTAATGCAATAAAATACTTGATCTGTATTATTGTACAAAAGGCTTCAGACGATGTTTGAAA